AAGTGTCTCTTTCAGGTAAAAAAAGAGACCTTAAGGCAGGGATCTTTTATTGGCATGATTAGAGAGGGTGAATAGTATTAGTCACCACAGGATTTTAACAAAATCAACACTTGTCCTATAATTTCAGTCAAGAGATGTTAATGAAGTTTCATTATGCAGAAAATGTTGTTTATTTATTCATATTCAAAGTAGAAACCTATTATTTAGTTCTTTATTTAAATTACATATCTTACATATAGACCTGGATTAATAGGTAAATGTACTCAAGGCTCAATGAAAATAATAAGTATCAACAGTAAGCTACATTATACTGAAGAAAAGAAGTTTGGATTTTAACACTTATTTTTAAAACTTCTATCAAAAAAACAAAACTTGATTGTCAAATGTCAATACTATTTAAAGATTAAAAAATGAATATATTAGTAATATGAAGATTTGGAAATGAAAATTCATTTCATGAATAGCTGTAATTTTTTAAATTATCTAATTTTTACCCCAAAATGAACTATGATATTGAAACAATGAAAAAGAAAGTAGGATAATTAAAATTAAAATGATATATTTTGAGTTTTTCAATTTCATAGCGACCCTATAGGGCTTCCTAGCCTGTAATCTTTATGGGAGCAGATCACCAGGTCTTTTCTCCGACAGGCAGATGGGTCAAACTGCTGACCTTTTGGTTAACAACCAAGCACTTAACCACTGCATAACCAGGGCTCCTTTTGAGTGACCATGAGAAATAACAAAATAGGCCTTGGACGGAGTTCAATCAATAATTTATACCATGGTTTTATACAACATCATTAACCTCACTGAATGAACTATGAACTCAAGACTTAAAGATTAAGTTTTACGTTACTCCCTCAAAGGACACTTTATAAATTGCCCCTTAGTGGTGAATTATTAAAAGGTACACATAAAATAATGAAAACTGGTCATTCTAATTTGGGACTAAAGAGAAGTTTAGTAACAGGCTAAAGACTATGATTTTAATTTTATTTTTATAATGGAATGGCCCAGTATGAATATTTCAGCATCATTCTAATAATGTATAATGTGGAAGCAAAAAAAAAAAAAAACAAAAAAACCCCACCAAACCCACTGCCACTGAGTCGATTCCAACTCATAGCAACCCTACAGGACAGAGTAGAACTGCCCCATAGGGTTCCAAGGCTGTAATGTTTATAGAAGCAGACTGCTACATCTTTCTCCCGTGGAACTGTCAACCTTTCAGATAGCAGTCAAGTGCTTAACCACTGTACCACCAGGACTCCTCTAAAACCGACAAAGGTTTTAAAAAATTAAAATGCATTTTAGAAATAGCAATATATATTTTTCCTTCTTAAACTAACTGAATGGTTCAGAAAGTTAACAAGGCCAAAAAAAAAAAAAAATCCCAAATTCATGTGAAGTAGAGATTGATACTAAAGACAACATGCACTATACGCAGACAAATCAAGGGTCTTATTCTGGGGCCATTCATAGGGCCATCCAAATATCTAAAAACAAACAACAAACAAAAACAAGGGAAGGAGCTAGATATTTTGCATAGATTCTATGTCTGGGGAAAGCTAACATGCAAAAACCTTTTTTTTTTCCTTTTGAAAACATTTGTTTAGAACTCGAATAGCCTTTTGCTTATTTAACATCTTTTTGCTTATATATTTAACCTAATCTCAAAAGAATCTATTTTAAAAAGCCAGTAGTGTATCATTTATTTTTAGAGCCATATTTCTATATTTACTTTCTTTCAAAGGTTCCAGGGTAATGTTTTATTTTTAGAATTACTGTATTAATTGCAAAATTCACTTCTAACTTTACTAGATTTTAATAACTGACATACGGCTGCTTACTAGAAAAATACAATTAAGTAGTTTTAATAATGCTGATGGGATAATCAGTCTGCTAAATAACTTGTTAACTATTGTCAATTATGCTTCTCATAAAAAATACATAACAAACAAGTCTCTCCACAGAAAAACACAAAACTGATCAACCTGATCAAATGGAAAACACAAAAAACAACTGTAAATATTGCTAATAGAGACAGCATGGCGCTAAGTAACTTGGAGAGAAGTCCTACGTCTATAACTAAATTGTTAAGATGGGAAGTTTTCTTGTCTTTAGAACAAAAAAAGAAGAGGGCAGAAAGTTTGCACCAGATAACCTTTGAGATTACTTTCTAGCTCAATTTTAATATTATAAAAAAAGTAAGATTCATGGTAAATGGAAGTACATCAATAATCTAGAAAGGATGAACTATGTTTAAACATAAATCCTTCAGTGGTTTACACTAAATTCCTTCTGAAAATTAAATCCCTTAAGAATACAGTTAAGGTGAATTTCTATATTATATTCTACTCAATATAAATTCTACTAGGATTAACAGTTCTAGTCTAAAGCAATATTATGATACTCTTCATTTGATTTACCAATACTTTTTTTTCTAAGTTTTAGGCAACTACAGATAAAATAAGGTCATACAGTAAATAACATCAATTAATATTCCTCCTCAGAAAGCAGAAAAGAACCTGCAAATAGGGCTATATTTTTAAAAAAAATTATCAAATGGAAAACAACAAAAAATTAGAAAAAAGTCTTTATTTAAATACTTCTAGTACATCCAATAAAAAATGCACCCCCCCAAAAGCCCCATCAACACTATTCTGCATTAAAAAAAATTATATATATCAAATGAAGTCCTTTTGAGTATTTCTAGTTTCTCTTCATGACAGTCTCAGAATTCACTAAAAACATTTTAATAGTATCTTCATAATGGATAATTTTTTCTAAGTTAAAATTCCAATTGCTTGTTGTACTTAAAATGTTGGAGTTTTTTTCATTTAAAAAAAAAAAAAACAATAAAATCAGCTTAAAATAAATTTATTGTACAATACAAAAAATAGGCATACTGGAAAATAAAAGGTACATCATTAAATATACAAAGCAAATGAAAGAAAGCTAAACAACACAAATGTTTTAATCCAAACACTAAGATAAAATGCACAACATTCATGCTGAAAACAAAGTATTTCAGGAATAATTTGCATTTCAAATGAAATGTTATGATGCCAAAAAAAAGTAAAACAAATATGCTAACTTCTAAATGCTTGAATATCAAGAATTAGTAATGGCATAAAAGAAATTAATTAAACCCAACAATACTGAGTACTTTTCAGGAAGTTTATTTGAAAAGGTATTAAAAATACTAAAGGACTCAAAACGATGTCCTTTAATTTAGCAAAGTTTTTCTTTCTTTTAAGGTAATGTTTGGGAGCCTATTCACAATTTCTTCCTTCTTCCACTTATTCCTTCCTCCAATGAAAAACAATAAAAGTCCATTTTTTAATTTCTAGATGGCCATTCTAACATCCTATAAACACAACAGCTTAGATAACTACTTCATTTGTAAGTATGTATTTAAGCATTTAGAAGTACTACAAATTAACAACCTAATTTTGAAATCTAAACAAATAGTCACACAATATGAAACATTAAATATAATTGTTATTCAGAGGACAATTTACTTTATGTCTTAATAATAGTCATTTTATCACTTCATTTTATAAAGTAAAACCAACCTCTAAATGAAAACAAAACGTTAGAATTTAGAGCACAGGGAAAAAATCAAAGCCTTCTTTCTGAACTACTAAGACATTCACTTGCCCAAACCACAAACAGCTCTGGCATATTTACAAATATGACACTGTCCAAACGTACAGCAGTGGCAAGGCCATGAAGAAACATCATTCTACTGTAAATGTCCAAACTAGATCATCCAGTTAGGATACGAATCTGTACAGGACATCATTCAAGTAACCCTGGAATCCTTGGTAAAATCCTCTAAAACTCAATACCTAATTATTTAAATATATAAATTTAATACTTAAGTTAGCCCAAAAGGCTTTTTACTGGCACCTTTGGGAGAGAACTTCTGTTCCTAACATCATAGTCCTCTAACTCAAAACCTCATATGATCAGGATTTTCTATATCTGTATTTACACTAGTACCTAAATTACCTAGTGAAATCTTTTTTGCTACACTATATTTACTTTTTTACACACTCTGCCCTACCACATACATGCCATGATCCAAAAAAACTATCAAGTTCTCCTTCTAATTCCCAATCCGCAAATAAAAAATTTACAAGTTTAAAAATGAATTAAAAAAACAAAGAAAGAAAGAAAAAAACACTTGAAAGAACTGTGGCGTAAACCAGAGAGGTATGTGGAGGGAGGAAGAAGTGTGAATAGATACTACAGAATTTTACAATCATTTTGCCAAGACAGACTTTAAATACTGTGAATTATTATTTGAAATCATGTTGCGTAGAGCCTAAAATTCTTCTCTTAAAAACACGTTTTGATTCTCAACACTGCATTTTTATAACTGAACAAAAAGATTCAAATCTAGAAGATATTTCAGTAGTATACTTACTACCTTCAGACTGAATTCATTTCTTAAATACTCTAAAAGAATTCAAATTAGAACTCTGAGATATCGTAGGTTATCAGAAAAGAAATATGCGCTAACATTTATGAAATTATAAGGTAATAAAATTATTAAAAGCTAAAAACCAAAATTTGCCATTCATACTTAGATATAACAGAAACTAAGTTAAGTGGATAATATGAAAATAAAATTGTTCAGGTGAACATTTCACTTGAAGACACTGTCTTTCCTTCTGAGTAACTAACCATTATAGTCTTTTAACAATAAAACATGTCATTACCTCACATCTAAAATTCTTTGGCTGGAATGTCTGAGTAATGTGAGACACTCCAGTATATAGCAATTCTGACAGAACATATGAGCATAGAAGTTACAAAGTAAGAAGGCCAAGGAGATGACTTATATTTAATAGGGTTAAATACCCAAGTGATGTTTGATAAAATTGAAAATGAATGTTAAAAAATTTAAAGCTAACCTATCACTAAAAATGGTATAAATGTAAATTTAAGCTAATTTTACAATTTACTACTATTTTAAGTAAAATAATTTGGGATTCATTATTTTTCCTTCTTTAGTTATATATTTAGCATAGAAATTACTTTCTATTGCCACTATGGACATCATGTCTGTTTTTAAAACTGGAAAAGAAAAAAAAGAAATGCAGTAAAACACAAGTTCAATGTGGGAGCTTTTAATCTAAGAAATTACAATTTTCTGTTATTATTTTAAAATGAAATTATCTGACTACATAGTCTAAAATTTTAACTACATCAAGAAAAAAATTAAAATTTTTTCTTTTTGTATTTTTTAAAATAAAGCAATTTCATTTATTTGTGAATACTCTTTAAAAGACCAACAAATCCACTTTTTAATCTATTATCTTTACACAAAATTAAAATAAAAAAAAGAGTTATGGCTCCAGCACCCAAGGTTGAGAACACAAAAAAATTCAAATAAATATTTCTAGTATGCAAAAAAGCTAAAGATGACTGAAAGCTTAAATGAAGTACATTCTGAAACTACAACTCCTTTCTTTAGCTTTTCTCTCCCAGATTTTCCATTCTATATACTACAGTTGTGGAGATGTCCTCATTTGACTCAGGTGACACTTTTTTCCATACTGTCTCTTTTAAAGCAAGTTCTTGTTGGAGACTTTCATAGTCCAATGGTCCAAAGGAATGCTAGTTGTTCAAGCAACATACATAATTTATTAGTGCACTTGAGTGAAGAAAAGGTCCAAGCTATAAAACGGTATTTTTCAATGAACGTTATTAAAATCTGTTAACATTTTCACCCACCACCATTTGACATTTTATTCCATGTTACTCATGTATACCTCCATGGAAGTTTCTATTCTGTTGGGCTTTGCATAATTCTCATATATTATCATAAGTTATTTAGATTGGAATTAATGACAGAAAAATTTATTCAGCATGTATTAAAAATATTTCCTACTTACAAGTGCTTCATATTAGCTTCAAGTTTAATTAGATAATTTTACTATAAACATTTTCTATATGGGATGCAGAGGAACTGAATAAAAACTCTTAATGTAAGTCCCTTGGTCCAATGAACTATACAGTCCAAAAACTCTTGTCCCTGAAATTTAAGTTCTAATTCTTAATACTAGCTCCAAGAAAAAAAGAACAAACAAAAAAGGAGTACGTATGCACAATCATACAAAGCTAACCTCACTGATGATAAAACAAATATGACTTTAAAGTAACAGTATCAGGAATATTGCATTAAACATTTTTTACAGGAAAATATTCTACAACAGCCTACAAAATTCATTATGAGGCTTCATAAGGTCTCTAATTAATACTATAATACCTTTCTCTATTTACATAACCATCCACACAGGAGTAAGAAGTCAAAATAAACTTCAATTCAGAACTATAACTGGCAAATATTAAGAGTAAAACCAAGCCTTTCTTTTTAGCTAAATTTATAGCCTAAGCAGTTTTCAATGTGACCTCTTTACACAGAATGAATTCTAAGAATATTGCTTAAAATAGCAGAAAACAAGAAGGAGGGACCCCGCCGCTAGGCTGCCCAGCTCTAATTTAAATAATAAAGCAGCAAAATTTAATATCTATGTACTACTGGTTCAGGATGAAAATGTCAACAATTTGTTTACACTCATTTGTGATTAGCAAAGGTATGAGGCCACTAAAAACTTTAAGCTAAGTTTTATTTAAGCAATCTCATTTCTCTCTTAAAAAAGTTATTACATAATAATCTAAATAAGAATTTTGCTTACCCTTTGATCACCACCTTCTCTTCGAGGATCAAGTTTTTTTGCAAAGTGTCTTAAATTATCATAATTATGGAAATTGCACAGAGAAACAAGATCCTGTAAATAGTTAAACAGAACAGGTATGAGGAATTGGCTATTCATTGGCTATTATTTATTTGTATGGTAACAAACTGTGCTAACACTGTCCAGCTTAACTATTTCATGGAAACCACCACTGCATGTTAGTAAGGCAGCGTGATGCACTGAGAAGAGAACTAAATCAGAATAAGACACGCACACAAGTTTTGAGAAGACTGCTTACCCTAGACTTCAGCCACTCAAACTGTCTAACTTTCATATTCTATAAAATGGGGATTAAAATAATAGGCCAAATGAAAGAATTTATCTATCAAAAAACTGTAAATCATCATAAAAATACAGTATTCTGGTACAAGCTACTATAATTTATATGCAATTCAATGTCATTCTCTAGTTTGTAAAATTTAGAAGACTGAAAAATAAATCATAATTTAATCGAAAAAGTCAGAGGAAAAAATTATGGTACTCAAGGTATGCTCTAGGAAGTACTAAATATAAATAAAACCAGATACTGAAATATTAGGAAGAATTGGGTGACAAAATAAAATACAGAACTAGTCAACAATAGCGACAACTCTTAAGCACAGTCGGATCGTTTTGATTATAGCCCTCCCATCCACCTGTAATCAACACTTAAAATTAAATTTCAGCAATGTATATAAAGGCAGTACTACTTCCTCCAAATATATATAAATGTACTTTATGAATGAAAATATTCAATGATGCAGATTAAAGGTGATACAATAAATTGTAATACTTCTTAAACTATGTTGGATTTTAAATTATTTCTCCAACCTTAGAATCTTTTGCTGAGCTTCTGAAAAGTGAAAACTAATCACAACCATGAAAATTAAAACATCAAACAAATATAATTTTCTACGAGAATGATTATATGGACCTGTCTGATAGAGGCAACCAGAAGCTCCTAAAAGCCCCTGTGACTACCCCGTAACTGGCACATGGGCAAAGCGCCAAGAATCAAGCAACGATGGAAATGGGTAAAAAATAAAATCAATGCTTGGCTCAACTTATTTGATCATTATTTTCATTAAGAAAATATGCTTACATGACAGAAATGAATTCCCTTAACACTGTTGCCCATCTTGTCCAGAGGAGGAGACCAGCACATCATGCCCATGACATTGGGGACAACTAAAAGAATGCCCCCAGCAACTCCAGATTTTGCAGGAAGACCAACCTGAAAGTAATTTGAAAAAAAGGGACACTCATGTCAACATTTTAAAATGAAAAAAAGTTATGTCCAATAATAGGGAAATTAGTTAATAAATTATGGTATATATCCATAAAACAGAATTTCAACATTAAAAGTATTTTGAAAGATATACTCCAAGGAGTTAAAGTAGATTATATCTAAATTATGCAGCTATGGATGTTTTTATTTTATTCTTCTTGACTATATTTTCTAATTGTTCTAAAATAAACATGTATTGTTTTTAAATATAAAAAGTTATTTTAAACAAAATAATTTACAACTTAAAAACCGTGACAAATTATGTCTTCCCAAAAGATTATGTGTGGTACACTGCCAAAAAAAAGTCTGAGGAACAAAGATAAATGGTAATTCAAATTAATTCTCTTCAAAAATTTTTTAAAGTTTACGTTTTGCAAAACAAAAGACAAAATTAATGTCACCAGGGTAGTGTTCACTGATGGCTTACTAACATTCACACATTGAGTACCTCTTGAAAGAAGTACACCTATGAGGTAATTTTGTACAAAATTAAACAAAACAAAACAAAAAAACACCTGACTCGAATTTACCAGTTTTCAGGAAATACGAGGGACAATGGAACGGATGTAATTAGCAAAATCCAGACTGTGGGAAACAGGATAAATGACCCAGTTTTTTCAAACAAAAATAACAAGAAAAAGAGAGAGTAGTCAAGGGGAGGCCTATTGATTAAAAGAAAATAAGGGGAGATGTTATCAACCAATCACAATGCATAGCCCTTATTACTACCTCAAGTCAAATGAACTGTAAAAAAATATAATAATAATTTCTAAGTCAATCCAAGAAATATGAACATTACATTTTGATGATATTGAAGATTTTTATTTCAGATTTTTGACATATGTAATAATGGTGTTGAGGTTATGTTTTTTACAGAGTCCTTTTCATTTAGAATTACATACTGAAATATGGTAAGTCAAGGAGAAAAGTAGGTGTACATACAGATGAACAAGACTGGTCATGTATTGATAATTAATGAAGCTTAGTGATGGCTACATTGGATTTGTTAAATGAATGTCCCTATTTTTGTATGTATGAAGATTTTCAAATTAAAAAAAAATATTCAGAAGTGTATTATGACTTGACATAAGCAGAATGAAATAAGAAAAGTCTATATACATTTTATAAAGGAGTCCTGGTGGCTCAGTGATTATGCGCTTGGCTGCTAGCCTGAAGGTTGGTGGTTCGAATCTACCAGCCACTCCGTTGGAGAAACGTGGGAGTCTGCTTCCGTAAACATTACCGCCTTGGAAACCCTATGGGGCAGTTCTACTGTCCTATAGGGTCACTACAAGTCACAATCGACTCAACAGTAATGGATTATACATTTCACAAGCAGCAAATGCACAACAGAGATTAAAGAAGTACATTTTTTTTATTAAGTTTTAACGTTAATATACTATAAGTCCTTTAAAACATCTATGGCTGTACCTGGAGCCCTGGTGGCACAGTGGTTAAGAGCTCGGAGCTCAGCTCTAACCTAAAGGTTGGCAGTTCGAATCCACCAGCTGCTCCTTGGAAACCCTATGGGGCAGTTCTGTTCTGTCCTATAGGGTTACTATGAGTTGGAATTGGCTGAACGACAATGGGTTTGGTTTTGGTTTTATGGCTGTACCCAAGATGTTAAACAACAGATTTATGAACTCTTTCTGAACTTAAGGAATTCTTGAGGTATGCAATGGCCATAATGCTAAACATTAACAACTAAAAATAACCTTGTACATTGGAATGCCTTAATAGTAGAAGTGACGAGGTTCTATAAATTAAATTTCAAGTACTTAACAACATCTGAGAGATTGCTTAACTGTATTACTTAACAATTCTGTAACAAATTAACCTTTAAAAAAAGTCTCTCAAAAATTAACGTACAGCCTTATAGGCAAAGTTCAAATTGTATTTTTAAAAGAACCAGTCCAGACTAGTTTCTTGTCAGAGAAAATCAAGATTAAACAATTACTTACATGGAAAGCAAACTGCCCTGAGAAATCATACATGCCACAGGAATGCATCAAACTCAGTGTATTTCGAACTGCTTCAGGGCTCAATACTCTCTCACCAGTAATTGGGCAGAAGCCACCATTAGCCAGTGTCGCAGCCATCACACTGGCTGATTCACAAGTCACTTCAAGAGAGCATAGCTAAAACAGGAAGAAAAGTGAATTCTGAAAATTTACGTTCATACTACTTTTAGTAAACTTGACTCCTAAAATAATCTACTTTATCTGCTATTTCATACAAATCTGAAATCTTTATTCCAAAGGGATTTTTAAATATAACATGAAGACAATCCAAAGATTTCAACTGGCCAAAGTTCTAGCCCCTTTAATGTTTATCCTGATTTGCCCAAATGTTGCTTTAATCACAAAATAATTTATTTTTTAAAAGGAAATACCAATTAAATTCCAAAGATCACTTCCTAATTAATACTTAGTATTAACTGGAATTTTGTTTTTCATAAGGTGACTGTCATGGATTGAATTGTGTCCACCAAAAAATGTGTGTAGCAACTTGGCTAGGTCATGATTCCCAGTATTGTATGATTGTGTTATCTAATGTGATTTCCTTATGTGTTGTAAACTCTACCACTATGTTAAGATTATATGTGATCTCATGTGTTGTAATTTCTATCACTGTGATGAGGCTATACTGATGAGGCTGACAAGGTTAGTGTCTTAATGCAATCTCTTTTGAGATATAAAAGAGAGAAGTGAGCAGAGACACATGGGAACCTCACACCACCAAGAAAGCAGTGCCAGGAGCACAGCGCATCCTTTGGACCTGAGGTTCCTGTGCTGAGATGCTCCCAGACCAAAGGAAGACTGATGCATCACCAGGACCTTCTCCTAGAGCCTACAGAGAAAGAAAGCCTTCTCTTGGAGCCGACACCCTTAATTTGGACTTGTAGCCTACTGGACTATGAAAGAATAAACTTCTCTTTGTTAAAGCCATCCACTTGTGGTATTTCTGTTGGAGCAGCACTAGATGACTAAGACAGTGACATACACCTAATTTGATGAATCCCATCTTAAGGGTACTTCCTGATACCCTGTTGAATGTTCAGTTAGATACTGCCCTTCTCTAAAAAAAGTAAGTATGGCTTCTATGGTTGTCTCTTGATTTTTGCCCTGAAGTACAGAAATTTCATGATACATTGGTAGAACCTAAACTGTAACAGTTAAATAAGTACACCAAAGGAAAAGAAACTAATATATGAAGAAAAATTCCTATGGGCTAGGGAAAAAAATATATATATTGGATAAAAGTGATACTACACTTCATATAGTACTTTGCAGTTTACGATGTAATTTCACACATATCATCTCGTTATCTTCAATGTAAATCTGGGAAGTCAGGTCAGACATATGCCACAGATAATGAAACTGTGGCTCAGTAACTGAAATTAGGTCACATGGTTAAAAGTGGCCAGATTAGATATTGAATTTTTTATTAATAATCTTTGGATTTCAATTTATGGTTCTTCACATTGACAGTATGAGTAGATTTATATACTATTTTCTTTGCTCACACCTTTTACTATTTAAAATAACACAGTAGAAAGGGCACTGGATGAGGAGATAGATCTAGCTGGTATATTTCTAGTTCTTCACTCATTTGGGCAAGTAACAAACTATGACCTGACTTCCATCAAAATCTACTTCATTACTAACTTCTCTTACATCTTCTATAAGATTACTGACAGGCTAAAATTAAAGTATCTTTAAAAATAAAGATAGGTTAATGTAAGGTAAATGAGAAAGTAGCCAATAAGGTGGCCTACTCTATAGATTCACAGAAACCCTGGCGGCATAGTGGTTAAGAGCTACGTTGCTAACCAAAAGGTCAGCAGTTCAAGTCCACCAGGCGCTCCTTGGAAATCCTATGGGGCAGTTCTACTCTGTCCTATAGGGTCACTATGAGTCAGAATCGACTCAGTGGCAATGGGTTTTGTTTTGTTTTGTATAGCTTCACAATATAGATGTATCAGTGCAGTCGCACCAATGGTGTAAATTCTATAAAAATGAACCGAACTGAAAATATCGGGGTGGAAGGGTGTTCCGGAAGGCTATCCTAAACTGAGTTCAATACCACAGCAGATTATTATGTAAGTGTTCCTCCTCTACCAATACGGAGAGCTACTCTATCTTAGAAGAAAACCTACTATGTGATGGCAGAAATGAACTAAACAAACACTTATTTTCCTAGCACTACTTAAGCCAGACTATAGTACTAATAAATCAATTTACAAAAGATAACAAGTCAGCTAAGAAACTGCCTCTTCACAATGCTGAATATGAGCCCTCTGATAAAGAAACAGGGGCCCTGGTGGTGCAGTGGTTTAAGCAGCTGCTAACCAAAACGATGGCAGTTCAAATCCACCAGCTGCTCCTTGGAAACCCTATGGGGCAGTTCTACCCTGTCCTACAGGGTCGCTACGAGTTGGAATTGACTCGAAAGCAACAGGTTTTTTTTTTTTATATGGGATAAAGAAACAAACAGCTTCTCCTAAAGAAAATTTACAAGCTAATGAAACAGAGTTCAGAGAAAACCAATTTCTGGGACTATATATTATTTTTGACATTTCTTAAATATACCATTTCAGAAAAATTTTCCTTATTACACTGAGGCATGAATTTTTAGGCGACATGGACATCGGACTTTCTCAGGAGGGTGTTTTTTGAAAGTCCATGGGAAATGTATTTTCTCTTGGCCTAGAGTTAAGCTTTCAGAGACATCTATATTCTACAAAATGTGACACACCCATTTATATACACAGTTCATATAGTTAAAGTAAATTACCTGGAAATAGAAGTCTAATATACCAACCATGTCTGTGCCTTCTGGAAAACACTGAAAAAAATAAAGAGGCAGTTAAAAATACAAGAACACAGGGGAAAAAATATGTGCACATAAATAAAAGGAGAAGTGAAAAGTAAATTCAAAATGTACACAAATGTTTCATTTTAACTGAAAATAAAATCACATGTAACCGTGAAATAACTACGAAAAATAAAGTAACATTACATCACATCATATAAATTTTAGTTTAACTGACAATGATAAACGGATTCATAATTCATGTATTGTTATTGGACCAGCCGCTCAAAACAAAAAAAAAATCAAGTAATCAACAACAACAGAGAGGCATTATATTTTTGGAGAAAAAAAAGCCTAAACCGCAAGCAGAATTTGTATTAATATAACCGGTCAAATATTCGAAGTACTGTTAGATACCAAGCAATTTAGTAATAACATTAACAATTTGATAACACTGACTCAAGATTGCTTTGCAAATCCTCCGCACCTTGAACAGTTACGGGCAGTTGCTTAATGGCTATTGTTGAGTTGTTAGCATATTATCTTTATATATTACTAAATAAAAGAATAATTTGAAATAGAAGCAAAAATTTAAAACCTTTTTTTCTTTTAAGTAATATCCTATCGCAAAATTCCGATCACCACTTTCTCTTTCGGACTGAAACCTGGAGGGGAGGGAAAAAAACATTTGTTCTACTTATTTCCTTTCTGTAAAAATGTGATTATCCTACAGTTCAATTTGTAAAGCAAAGTACAATATAAAGAATACTAAATTGCTCAGGAGTGCTGGGTTCCAGGCCCAGTTCTGTCAATATGCTAGTTATGTGGCCTTAGGCAAGTCATTTACATGTCAATTCTTTCAGCTTTAATTTTTTTCAGCTGTAAAGGGACTGAAATAAACTCTAGTCCTCATATTTAATGAATAAAGAAGTTAATTTAAAAATAATCAAATATCCTACACCTTTAAAATACATTGAAAAATTGCAAAATCCTCTGGCTCCCTCAAAAATATAATAAACAATCAATTCCAACTGAGGGAATACATGGAAATTTCACTGACAGAGGGACACATGAATTGGACTTTTAGGACTCACTGGATTTACAGATTTCAGGGGAGAGAGAGCCTAAGAAGTGGCAAATTCAAGTAGCATGAACAAAATTATAAAAGCACAAAAGACAGAAATTCATTGAAGAATGAAAAGTATTCTGATGTATCTGGAACACAGGGTTCATGGAGAAAACTGGACAGACATGAAACTAAAAAAGGAGACTGGGACCACATTATCAAGACTGATAAATGCCAAAGAGTGAAAATGTCTCCTGATTGCCTGCAAAATAAAAGCCTGAAAGCTTTCCAACAGCGCTATTACCTTATCAGATTTATATTTTAGAAGGATACTCTGACATCAGCTTAGGAAAGGAGAAAAAGAAAGGATGAGTGATGTATTAAGAGACTACTGTAACGAGAACTGCAGAAAACCTGGACTTGTGCAGTCATGATAGGAATGGAATGAGAGGTATGGTTAAACATGAGAGAAGCTGGATAAGTTTTCCAATATGAATGGGAAGAGAAGAGAGAAGGCGAAGTCTGGTACAAAGCCTGGAT